ATGATAGTGACTAAGGATAAAGGAAGCTTTCTTTGTTATGAGGTAAAATTGTAATTAGGTTTTTATTAACAGGGAGTCTCTTTTTGAGTGGAGGCAGGTTTAGCTCAAGCAAAGAAAATGACTGAGAAGATTTAATCTTGTCCAATATTGGAGATGGGATTCAAGTTTGCAGTAACAGGAGTATTCTGTGTCCTTTCTTGTCTGAATTGCATCTTGGTGAAAGGTGCTAGGTTGCCATCTCTGAAGTCTAAAATCCTCCTTGTCAACACAACAGGCCAATGTCAAGATATGCTTCCATTACCAACGTATTTGATACTGCCCCTTGAGGAGCCAGACCCTGCAGTGGAAGATAGTTTCTTCCACATGGCCCACGCAATGCTTGGCATCTTTGCTGTCATTAGAAATGATCAGGCCAAATAGTGCTGATTTGTTATTAGAAGGTGAATACTTAACTACTAAGAAATAGACTGAGATCAGCATTCAAGTAATTTTATGCACAGCATCTTATTACATTGAATCATTGTTGACATAGACTAGATTTGAAACTGTAACTTTGAGGGGGAAACTCCTACAGACTGCTACTAAACCTGTGAGCCATTTGGTACCCTTCTTCTTCATCCTGACAAAAGAAAGAGGTTTGTTTTATATGTTGTTTGTTTCCCCCTGCCGGGCAGCTGTCCACCCCACCATTAAGTCCTGATGTGCCAAAACAAAATCAATCAATTGAATCTTTCAAACTGTTCATTTGGTCTTGGCAGAGGAAGATATCACTTGGTAGTTTTCACTCACCTTTCCCAAAGCTGAGAGAAAGCACTCTGTTGTGAGAAAAGCCATTTGGAGTAATTGGCCTTAAAAGACAAAGCTGCTGAATTGTGAGAGTGATCTTTGAACTGTACATTAAAAACCAAAGATTTTAAAAAATGTTAATGTCAGAATTAACAGTCTGATTTTGTTGACAGTTGAGGTCTTCATATGTTATCATAGTATGATATGATTTATTTACCTATCTGCATTGGTACTTTCCTCTAAAGAAACATATATTGCAAGTGGTGCCTCTTTCCAGGGCTTCCTTCCTATCTTGCTAATATAACATAAACACATTTCAAGTCTCATGTTTCAGACTCTGTTTTTCCTTTTAAATTTAATTAAAGATTCAGTATGTAAAGATAATGGTTGGGTAGTATGGTGGACACTGCAAGTATTCTCTGATTCTCTTCCGCCATCATGGGGCTGGTGTTTTAACAGGTTTGGGGTTTTTTTGGTCCTCTGGCCAGACAATTGACATAAGGCTTTCCCCAAGAAGGATATGGACAAACAGGCTTTTTCAGTTGGAATTTAGACTGGCACAGGGAACTGAATGGCCTGTTTCCTAAGAAATTGCTGAGAACAGACTTGTAATGCTGAGTATTGTTCCTTTAAACTTCATATGTAAGCATACCAAACTTCCTCTCTTGCAGCTGAGCCAAATTCAGATTCAATAGTTAATTGTCTTGTACTCAGCAGGTCAAGTCTACGTTTGGCAGTCTACTTGTTGAAATTCTCCAGATGCTACCATTGAACATGGTAGATTCACATTAGCCATTTGATAGTCTATTTTAAATTTTATTCAGTCAGAAAAGCTTAACTCCTGAAATGAGTTAGATGGATCTCAGTCTATTTCTCAGTGGACAAGTGTCCATACCAAAAAATCATCACCACGGTTGGTAGTAATTGGCCTATAGTTTGTAGCCCCATAAAAGAGGCTGTATCAGCCATTGAGACTTAACTAGTCCACAGTCTAACCACTGAAAGTGGTCTCTCCAGTGAAAAGTTGAGGCATAGTGGTGAGCCTATGTTAGGAAATGTGTACTATATCTGTTCTCAAGCTAGAGGATTTCAACTCCAAAGCTGCATGAGTACTAAATTCACACAAACATCTTTTTTGAAAAGAAAGGTCTTAACTCTGATGTATACTCCCTTTTGGCAAAGTCTTCCTTTTACCTAATAGTCATGTTGGGTTGACTGATGTGTGAGAAGAGCCAAGTGATTTGCTTGTGGTCACACAGTGAATCATTGGCTGAAATCCTTTTGGTTCCTGTGTTCTTACCATGATCAATAGCGTTTCCCCCCAAAGCACTGAATAAAATGGTTTGCATGTGTGATGACTGTGTTTGCTAGGTGAAGAATTGTGCTGAAGTGATACAAATATAATTGGAAATTGTATACGCTACTGAATACAGAATCTTAAAGGGAGAGAAGAATCCCCAATTACCATGCTCTGGGGTTCTACCCCATTTCAGTCATGCTGAAATCTCAGTAAACTCTAGGGCAAACATAAATAACACAGACGTTCTTGAACTGAAAGGTTAAGCTTATCTCGGTCTCTCTTGGTCAGATTGCAGTTCATTGAATAAACTTTTTATCAGTACTGTAAGTAAAGGTCACAAGCATTTACCATTTATGGTTGATGTCAATTATGCCACTCAACTTATTTTGGAATTAGTATGAAAAGGAAGCAATGAAATATAACAAACATGTAGTCTGTTACTGCTTGTGGGTGATAAATTCAGTTTAACACAGTATGTTACTGTTACCTATGTGGACTATATCAATATATAACTTGCTTAGATTAATTGATCTCTGTTTTGTTATAGAACATTGACTGTTTAGGGATGTGCTTGGGTACCTTGTGTGCCTCCTGTGTTTGGGTGTATCTCGCTTCAATACGTTAATTATTTTAGAAATCAGTGAGTTCAGTTTATTGAGTTTGTTCTTGTAAATACATTCATTTCCAGCAAATTACAAAGGCTGTGTGTTTGTCTGCTTGGTGCCTATATGGGGATCATTAATGCCTTGCAACCTGGAAATAGTAAGTCAAACATGAGAGAGTATTGCAAAATCTACTGAAAATTAACTTTTGATTACTATGTGGGACTTGATTTTGAAAGGAGACTCAGCCTGATCCCCTAAATAGCACTCACCTTTTTGCATCCCCATTTTACATTTTGTGGGTGCTATTAGATACTGAGGTATCCAAACGGTAAGATTTGTACCAGCAATTAACTGTGGGCACAGAAATATGGGAAACATTAATTGTGGGTAAAAAAAAAAATTTCACAAGTTAGGGCTGGCACTGAAAATCTAGCCAATGGCTTGTGACTCTGAACTCCTTGCAATTTCAGTAGGACTTTTTGTCTCAGCATCTTGAATACTCAGTGTTCATCACAAACATAAAGTTTTGTTAATGTAAACCTAGGTTGTCAATTAAAATAGCAATTACAAAAACTATATAGCAAGAATGTTTACCATTAATATAATATAAACATTGATCAGTTAAGATATAGTGTAAGTAAAGACTGTAATACTCCATCTGTTTATGAGAAAATTCATACAGCAGAGTCTAATACCAGCCTTAACTCTGTCCACAAACGTAACACATCACTTTTGTAGTTATATGATGTTTCAGCTGCTGATGGAACAGAGATGAAAAGTTGAGATCCAGATCTAGATCCAAACCTTTTCAAAGTTTGAGCAGTTAGGATCCAGCCAGAGTTAAGGTTGCAGTTGGAATGTCCAGTATGAATTTTTACACATTTTGTGTGTGCAATTGCATGGTTAATATTGTTTATAAGCTGGCCATGAATATAACTGTTTTATAGTTGTTGGGAATTAGTTGTGTGTTCCCATGCCTTCCTACCATGATGAAAAACTCTAGTGCTGTAATCAGGTTGTTAGTACGGTGCATGTGTTGGACGTGCCAACCCTTCCCCCTAATTTTTCCCTCCAAAAAGGATGAGAGACTCTTCAGTGAATCATAATGGGGTTACTCAGCTTTGTGCTAATGCTATAGCTATATCATACTGAAGGTAGGGTGACCAGATGTCCTGTTTTTATAGGGACAGTGCCTTTTGGGGGGACCTTTTCTTATCTGGGCACCTATTAACTCCCCACCCCCTGTACTGTTTTTTCACAGTTGCTATCTGGTCATCCTAACTGAAGGTTCTTTCCAGGGGCTGTGTGAATTTTTGCTGACATAACATTTTGGGAGGATTATTACTAACAAAAACTTAAGAAAAAAAAATTCTCAGGACTTGAATGTAGTACCTTCTAAATGGCAGGGCTGTAATACTAGGCTAAGTAGCCCCTTTGGACTCATCTGAAGAGTCTCAGGTGTTTGGGCAATGGAGAATTATTACCTCGCTTGGAGTGATGAGTTCTGAGCACCTCTGAAAATTGGGCCACTTTTATTTAGGTGCCTCAATATGGATTTAGGAACTTGGGGGGAGATTTTCAAAGGCACAAAGGTTAGTTAGGGACCTAACTCCCATTGCAAGTCATTGGGAGTTGTGTGTGTAATTCTCATTTGTGCCTTTGAAAATCTACCCCTAGTTTTTGGCACCCAGCTTTGAAAATTTTGGCCATTATGATAAGTAGTGCTAATACTTTGATGCTATCTAGATATCTTAAAGTTTCCAGGTTAAAACAAAGTCTTTTATAAATTATATATGTATAATTATAAAGCATTAGACTCCAGTTCTTCAATTTTGAAAATGTGTGATGTTTAACTCCGGAACTATTAAAAGTATTTACTTGTAACTTTTCCCAAAAATGCTACTGAAAGGCAAGAGTAAGTGGTATAATTTTGGTTAAAACAAGTATTTATTTTGTCCCTAATGATGATAAAACCCCACTTTAACAACGAAATGAAGGGATTTGTAGCCTTGGAGTCTCTGTGAATGCCTCCATAATATGATATTCATGTGCAACTTTTTCCCTATAAAGTACATGTGTGGTGTGATGTTTTCGTTACTAGTGCTTCTTGTTTACATGTTTTTCACCTGCATGCTGAATGTGAATGTGTAGGACTTTGTTTTGTCTTATTCCAGCAGATGGATATATATTGATATATACACAGTAAGCCACCTACTTCTCCAACTGAACACTGAGTCATCTGAACGTTATGAAAACTCAAGGTGTTGTCTGAGTAAATCCCTAAATATAAGCATTTCTTTTCTTTACAGCAGCATAAAAGAGAAGTGTTAGGAGCTGCTCTTAACCCTTTTGGAGTTGGAAGAGAAAAGGTAACATTAAGCAACATTTTCTGGATACTTAAAGGTACACATTGTATCTACTTGAAAATGCTATTTACCTAGCACACTCAGGCTGAGGTTTTTAGAGAGCTCAAAAATGAGAACTTTGAAGAACAGGAGGGATGCTGGGGCAGGAGAAAGAGAATAAAAAAATTACAAGAACTTTTTGGAAACTTCTGCAAATTTTGGCAGAAATTATGCAGGAACAGATTACAAATTGGAAACCACCACAAACATTAATATATATAATTTACAAAATACAAGTTCACAAATATTAGGAGCTCAGTGGGATTTTCTAAAGATTGATCATGGTGCAATAATAATATATATGTATGTATTTAAGTTTTATTAATTCAGTGAGACAAATGTTGCATCTCCTTTTTCAGTCAAGAATCCTTCAGTGAGAGTTTTGTCTAACTGAGTAGTGAGTAAGGTCTAAACAACTAATTAAAATATTCAGTCATTTTACTACTGTGTATAACAAAGCACTGGCAATATTAAAAACTGATAATCTTCCTACTTACTAAAATGTGAACTTCGTAAATACAATGTAGTTTTGCATTTTCTATCATTCATCTTGAAGTACATTAGTAGAGGTGAAATATTTTCCAAAAACTTTCATTTGAATTTCTAAAGGACTGACTTTGATTGTGTCCTGTCCCTTTTAACAAATATTTGAGTGAGCAAATTTACAAGCAGGACTGTCTGTGAAAACACATATTTTAAGCAAATATTAGAGAATATTCACAGAAAACAACTTTTGAATGATCAATCATAAGTATTTGCACTTGAAACAAGATGCTCAGAGCTACTCATCCTGTCCAAAAACAGAAACATGATTTATTTGTCCAGTCAAAACATCTTGTCTTTCGAATGTAAGTGTTCGTAATTGTCTGCTCACAAATGAATTACAGACTACAAATTATTCAAATAATTTTCAATAACAAATTCAAGAGAATAATGCATAGATAATTCAGGAGCATATTCAAAAGTATAATTGGTTAACTATACTGTTAACTGTATAATTGGTTAACTATACTGTTAACTGTGACACTCTGGTTACCTTTCCCAGACCTTAAGAAGAGCTCTGGGAAGCTTGAAAGCTTATCACTTCCACCAACAGAAGTTGGTCCAATAAACTATATTACCTCACCTACCTTATCTCTCTTAAATTATCAGTCCTTTGCCCTGCTGTAATTTGCATTTGCAGCATAAATTTCCACTGTTTTAGAAGTAAGGGCCAGACTGTGGCCTGGTACTGCATTGTTGTACAAGGTCATAAATAGGGGGAAGACCCACTTTCAACCGGAACACTCAGTCAAAAAGGGGCCCTGGCAGCTCCGGTCAGCACCGCTCCCAGAAGCGACTGTCATGTCCCTGCGGCCCCTAGGTGCAGGTAAGATCAGGGAAGCTCCACGCCCTGCCCCTGCTCTGAGTGCCACCTCTGCAGCCAATGAGAGTTGCGAGGGCAGTGCCTGTGGGCGCAGGCAGCGTGCACTCCTGGCTACTCCTCCGCCTAAGGGCTGGACATGGTGACTGCTTCCGGGAGCAGTTCAGAGCCAGGACAGGCAGGGAGCCTGCTTTAGCCCCGCTACATCACCAACCGGGAGCCGCCTGAGGTAAGCACTGCCTGGCAGGAGCCCACACCCTGAATCCCCTGCCCTGGGGATTCTTCCCAGACCCTGCACCCCCACCTACACCCCAACCCCCTGCCCCAGGTCAGAACCCCCTCTCACACCCAAATTCCCTCCCGGAGACCACACCCCACATCGCCCCATGCACCCCAACACCCTGCCCCAGCCCTGAGCCCCCTCCTGCACCTAAACTCCCTCTTGGAGCCTGCACCCCACACCCCCTCCCACACTCCAACCCTCTACCCCAGCCCTGAGCCTACTCCTGGAGCCCACACCCCCTCCTTCAAATCAACCCCCTGTCCCAGCTCAGAGCCCCCTCCTGCACCCTGAACCACTTATTTCTGGCCCCACCCCAGAGCCTGCACCCCAATCTGGAGCCCTCACCCCTTCCCACATCATCCCAATCCCCTGCCCCAGCCCAGTGAAGCAAGTGAGTGAGGGTGGGGGAGAGTGAGCCATGGGGGGAGGAGGGCTGGAGTGAGTGGGGGGTGGGGCAACAGAGAAGGGGTGGAGCAGGGGCACGGGGGCGGGACAAGAGTGTTGAGTTTTCTGCAGTTAGAAAGTTGGCAGCTCTAACCCTGACTCTTATACATCTTGGCTGCAGATGGGTATAGAGAGAGGGAGAGCCGGGTCTGCATGGTTGGTGTGTTTTGTCAAGAAAGGGCCAGAAAGGGAATTGGAAATGGGGGGACCCTACATTTCTTCTCCCACTTTTGGTGGCTGGTCCATGGAAGAATCTGATAATCTGTTAAATTGCTGTAGTGAGTTACTTTCCCCAGGGACAAGGCAGGGAATTTAGACTTTGAAAGACTATTCTTTTCCTGAGCTCCCTCTGTGGGGTGGTTGCATCTGTTCCTCACCACTATGCAAGACTGTGCCTAAAGACTCATTCTAGTCCTATGTATTTAATTGTTGCTAACAAAATTTGTTGCAAAAATAGGCCCCAATCCTGCAAAGTCTTACACATGAGCTTCTCTTCAGGCACAGTGAGTTGTCCTATTGAACTCAATAAGACTAATCACAGTGCTTAAAGTTAAGCAAGCATTTAAGTGTTTGCAGAATCGGAGACATAGTTTTTTATTTCTTTTTTGCTGAAAGTGTGGGAAAATATTTGTTAAAATGTGTTAGGTTTATGGGATCTTCCCCAATCATCTGGCAGTTTGAGAGAAGCAAAATTCGAATTTCTATTTATCCACAAAAATCCACAGTTTTGGTAGGTCCTTAACTGTAAGGCATGAAGAAGAATGGACTGTTATCATTTTTCTTTTTACAAGCACTGTTAAACCTTCCAGCTAGAAAAAGATGGGTCGTATAATTTATTACAGAGAAGTAAACTGCAGATTATATTGCACGAAGAAGGGAGATAGAAGATCCAACAGACGTGTGTGTGTGTGTGTGTGTGTGTGTGTGTGTGTGTGGTATAGAGTGTGTACATAAGTGTGGTATGGAGTGTGTGAACTCTCGCTTATAATTTCTTCACACTTGGGCACACCTCAGACATTTTACTTAGTAACAAGAAATGCAGATTGTTCAGGAGCCAGCAGCAGTTCTTTCAGATAAGATTTTTAAATCAAACCTCAGCAACAACATGTATTTTAAAGCAAGCAATCCAAAGATCTGGGCACCAACTGTGGCCAACATAGTGCAGAATTGTTTTCCCGCCCCTTTAATTTTCCCTGCTTTTATCTCTCTAATTACAAGGAGCACAGTTTCAGTGTAGATGAGCTATTAATCTATATGGAAGTATGATCAAAGAGCAGGAATACTTGTTGAAAACTGGAAGATTTCTGGCATTTGAAGCTGCCCAGGGAAGATGTCTTCTGGTTTTCCAGATGCATTTAAACAATTTTCCCCTTGATTTTTAAGACCCCAGTATGCTGCAGGGGTAGGTGGAGTGAACTCCTAATTCACCTGTTTCCTTATTTTTATTTTTTTGGGGATAAATGGAATGTGTGGTTTAATTTGCTACACAACTAATTACAGAAACCTTAATGAATGCTACCTATGATTGGGTGACGAGTTTTTTACCTGGTTTCAGAGTAACAGCCGTGTTAGTCTGTATTCACAAAAAGAAAAGGAATACTTGTGGCACCTTGGAGACTAACCAATTTATTTGTGCATAAGCTTTCGTGAGCTACAGCTTACTTCATCGGATGCATACTGTGGAAAATATAGAAGATGTTTTTATACACACAGGTTTCATCTGATGAAGTGAGCTGTGGCTCACGAAAGCGCTCATGCTCAAATAAATTGGTTAGTCTCTAAGGTGCCACAAGTACTCCTTTTCTTTTTATACACACAGACCATGAAAAAATGGGTGTTTATCACTACAAACGCTACAGCTCACTTCATCGGATGCATACTGTATAAACACCCATTTTTTCATGGTCTGTGTGTATAAAAACATCTTCTGTATTTTCCACAGTATGCATCCGATGAAGTGAGCTGTAGCTCACGAAAGCTTATGCACAAATAAATTGGTTAGTCTCTGAAGTTTTTACCTGAGATCCAGAACAGAACATTTTCAAAGTTTAGGGATATTTGGATCCAGGGCTTTTGTTTTGGCTTTATATACCGGGGGTGGGGGGTGGGGGGGTCTGTGAAGTACAAATTGGAATCCAAACCTTTGGGGTGCTCTGCTCTGGTGTCCTGTGTCAAAATGTAAACATGTGATAACATTTCAAGGTAAGAAAATACTGCATAAGTCTCCAAGCTCAATACCTCTTTCCTTCTGCTCCCTCCTCTGCAAATGTCTGCAGATAACAATGTCCAACCCCCTACACTTTTATGTCTTCTAGGGGATGACTTTATGACATGTGCATCAATTAACCAATTGGCTAGATGGGCCAAAGACAACAGTTAGCGAGGGGCAACATAACATTGTGTGTGTGCATGTGTGAGAGAGACAGAAAGAAAGATTTGACTGTTCAGATGATTTTTATAAAAGGCTTCTATTTCCATTCTGATTATCAGCCTCATTGTGACCCTCTGAATTCTCCCCCGTAACTTGGTCACTGTGTCCAATACATCCATATGTACAATAGACATGAAATCTCACTTAATCACTTCCCTCCCATTGCATGCACCTCAGGTATTGATGCACCTGGGTCCCTCCTGTTCTCTGCCTGTGGCATACAATAGTTTAGTCTCCTGAGGATTGTAATCCTTTGGTCTAATTGTGGTTGTTGGGCTTGCTGTGGGGGTGGCAGCCTGTGATATACAGGAAATCAGACAGACTAGGTGATTTGGTGGTCCTTGTGGCCTTAAGCTCTATGCCAATGAAAGATGACAATTTGCTGCTGTCGTTACCGTTCTCCTATGGGTGGGTTTTTATTTCCTGTTTTAGGTATAGTGGGC